AGATGCCTGGCTCTGGAGAAGGAGAAGGGAGAGGTGAGCAGGTACCACCTCACCATCCCTGGTTCCTGTGTTGCTCCCTTGCTCTGTAGGGGAGCAGTGGGCTCTCACTGGCTGCTGTAAGAGCCTGAGCTCTACTGTGACCTGGCTGGGCACCCAGTGAGGAGGTACTGCCGTGGGAGGCAGAGCTAAACACAACCAAGGTGAGGATAATGGGGATTGGATGCTCTCCTGGATATGGTGCCTTGCATCTCAAAGAGGGTGATGATCAGCACTGTGCTCCAGATTGATGGGAAGTTCTCCAAAGGGATGTACGAGAAGGTCCCAAGGTGTGCTTGGAGGCACTTTTGGGGTGGGCTAGGGAATCCTGGCCTTCCCCAGCACAATGCTCCAAGGAACAGTATCTGGGCTGGCAAAACAGAGTGGAGCCCCTTGCACTGGGCCTGTGCCCTGCTGGTTAGTGCTGGCGTCATGGGTGACTGGTGTTGAGTTGTTGGCTGGGATGGATTTGTGCTGTCAGCATGTCAACCTCTCCTGGTGGAGAGGGGCTCCTGATGGAACAAAGGGCTGTGACAGCACAGGAACATAAGAAGGAGAAAGAAAGGCTGCAGGTGAAGCTGTGTATTTGTCCTGGCGCAGACACGTGCAGGAAGGATGTGACTTTCTCCCTGTGGGGGACTGTGGTATGGAAGCTGTGGTACAAATCTCCCCTGGGGATGGAGGAGGGAAGCAGCAGCCTTCCAGAGAGGCTGAGCATGGCAAGTTGCCACCTTGGCACCTGCCCACACGTGTGCTTTTCTACCTGCCTTGGTGCAGGCCCCAGATGGGCTGCCAGGAGAAGCTGACCTTGACAAAGAGCTTTTGTTGAGGTTTTGGACCGGGGGTTTGTTACACTGTGGTGTTGATTTGCCCTGCTGCAAGTGATCTTTGGGAACTGACGTGCTGGATCTCTGTGCTGGCTGGGTGCTGGTGGTGCCCTGCCCTCGCACTGCTGGTGGTGGCTTTTGGCCTGGCTGACTCTCAGGGACTGGTCGTGACTGCCTATTAATTACAAATCTTACTGGAATGTAATGAAGGAGCAGCCTGTTTCCTGGGGCAGGTGAGGTCAGGCTGCCAGCACAGCAAGTGACCTGCTGAAGCTGGATTCCCACCTGTGGGAGGGTGGGGTGCAGAACTTGCCAGGCCAGGGTGCCAGAAGGGGGCTGTGCTTGGTTGTTTGGTGCCTCTGAGCGTTCCTTCAGGTATTTGGTTCATCTTCCTGGCCCTGCTGTTTCCAGCCTTCAGAGCAGTGCTTGCTGCTGGGTTGGGATGCCCAGTGGGACAGACGGTGGCTTCCCTCTGGACAGCCCCAGCAGGGAGCCCCTGGTCAAGGGGGAGGGCATGGTCCCCAGGGCTGGCAGCATTTCCTCCTTCACCCGGAGGTTCCTGGTCCAGCAAAGTCATGGGCTGCTCATGCCACAGGGGAGCCAAGTGTGGAGGTGCCCAAAGGCTCCTTCCCGCTCTGAAGGTGCTGCACTAGGAGCTTCTGCCCGAGCTGACTCTCCTCCTTGTGGTTTTCCAGGCATTCAAGCTGCAGTGCTGGTGGATTATGACCGCAGGGGAGCTGTGTTGCATCTGCAAATCTCTGCTGTGCATCAAGGACACATCTGAGCAGGTGAGTGCTGTGCAGATGAAAGGTCTGCTGTCTTTCTGCTGAGGGAAGCTGGTGGGGGGCCGTCACGGCTCCAGGCTGTCAGCGTCCTGGTTTCTGCCTTCCCTGCCTGGCATCTCACGTTGGAAGTAGCAATTGCAAGCTATTTTCGTTGTCTGTAGGGTCAGAATGTCCTGTGCTGTGGGTGAAAGGGGTAGGAGGTGGATATGAGACCAGCAGCTAGCTGGAGGCCCAGAGGTTGCTGGTGATCTGCAGTGTTTCGGAAAGAAAGGCATGAAATGCTCACCAGAAAGAAAGGGGGATCTGTTCATGTGCACAGCGTTTCATACAGGAAGGCCTAAAAATGCATGTAAAATACGAGCCAGGTATGAGAGTTCACAGCTTAGCTTGCAGTGTTTGTGGTTTAAGTGGAAATCAAGGTGGTAGCCTGAGATGGCCAAGATGCATGTGACCTTTGGGTTTGGGAGGTGTTTACATTTAGGCAGTTGTTCCATCACCTGGTGACCCCTCCTCATCTGAGAGGGGAAATCAGGGAAAAAAAGAAGGAGGCTTGTGGGTCGAAATGAAACCAGATTTGCTAAAATAATAATGAAGAACTACTATTAAAGCCACTGCTTATATGAAGTACAAAGTTATACTCAGCCCATGTAGTGGTCATAAGCTATGTGCTCCCAGCAGTGAATGGCTCCACAGCTCCAGCCAGAGCATGATGGTCAGAGCAAACAGGAGAGGAAGCCTTGGGGGTCAGAATGATGGATGAGACCCTCCAGGGACAGCAGTCATTGAGGAAAAGCCCCGTTCCCACCAGACTTCTCAATTTAGAATGAGAGTGATATTTATGGTATGGGATACTTCAGTCAGGCAGCTTGGGTCCGTTGCCCTGGGTTTTGCACCTTCTGGCCCCAGAACCTGGCCAGCTCAGAACGACTGAGGACCTTGGTCACTATCAAAACCCACATACAGTGGCTGGCCACAACAAACTGAACAAAGTGTCTCCTCAGCCTTGTTCTCAAAACATTGGATGCAGCAGTCTTCTCAAAAATTGCAGCTTCCCTAAACAGAAAATCAATTCTATAATTGTGCCCCAGCAAACCTGGACAGGAGGTTGAGAGCAGCTGAGCCTCAGTGCTGCCTTCTCTGCCTGTGGCCCCACAGTACCCTCCTGTCTGTCTCCCAGAAAGCATCCGGATCACTCCAGCCCTGCATCTCCTGCTTTCCTTCCCCTCAGAGCCGCTGTGGACACTGAAGAGCTGGAGAGGGCAG